ACAAGAAAGACTGTCATCATTAGGGCAGGGATTTCCTCACATAGGCATGGGTATGTGATTTCATTCTTCAGACCGCAGCACTGCACTGATTCCACAAAGTGGACCAATATTCCTCACATCTGCTTATGTGTGCCTTTCTTAGTGTGATATATATATATATATATATATATATATATATATATATTAAGAAAGGACTTTAGATGTTCAGTAACTCTTGATGATCTAGGAAAGTTTTCTAGGAGATCTGAAGCAGAGACTAACATCAGTTCTTAGATGTCTAGTGGCATTCTGAAGTATAGCTACACAAAATAGAGCAGAGCTGGATCTTTTGAGAAGCCTCCCTCTCTCCTGTGGTGATGGAAAATGACTATGACACAATGCCATCAACTCTGACCCACCTGACCAAAGTCCATGAAGCTTAGCAATTTTCTCTGGCAGTCTACTTAGCATCTGTCAGAGCCAAGCTTTACTGGGAAGGACGGGCATTCTAGAAAAACTGTCAAATAAGATTTACATTCCAGAAGTTGTACTGGACATTTCTCCTATGTCAGCTGCTTTTAAAAACTGTGTGGGCCCCCCTATAAAGTATCCTAAATCCTACTGGCACCCTGGGATCAAGGAGGGGGGGTTCTCCTTGGTACAGAAAACCCACTAAGCAATCACACTTAGCTTCCTCATCTTTCCTCCCTCGGGGGCTGTCAGTGGGGTCTTTAATAGAGTAAAGAAGGAGAATTAGGTGCTATCTTTCTCCTCGATGGAAAGCTTTAGCAAGGTCATTAACATTACCTTGAGAAATCTCCCATTTTTCATTAAAACTGTGGCATTGAAATCCTTGATCAACCCAAAAAAAGTTTAAATCTATCAACTGCTACTGGTTTTTTGAGCACTGGAAAAAAGATAGAAAGGACATGGACCTGCCCTCAAGGAGCACACAAACTAGTTGGCTAGTGTATCAGATATACATTCCCACAAAAAAATGCTGAATAACAAATAATCATGCAAAGTAAGCACTTAGTATTTACATATCTGGGGTTGTTAGGTGAATTTGCTGATCTTGGGTGGCTTTTCTCACATGTCTAGGGGTTGGTTGTCTATAGGCTGGTCAAGTATGGCCTTAGCTAGTTTGACAAGGGTGACTAGTGTTTCATTCCCCTTCTGGGACCAGCAAGCTATCTTGGGCATGTCCTTTTCATGGCAACAGTAGAGTGCAAAAGCACAGGCAAAATGCACAAGCACTTTTTAAATAGGATCTGCTAATATGTTATTAACCAAGGCAAGTCACATGTCCAAATCCAGATTGAAAGGTAGAAAATAGACTTTGCCTATTTAGTGAGAAGTACTGCAATGTCACGAGACAAGGGGCAAGGATACAGAAAAGGCTGAGATGTGGGTCCATGAATGGAATCAACCCATAGCAGACAGGTAAGAGAGAAATGCAAAAGTGTATACATGACCACGCTCCCTGGCATGGTTTACCCATGGCTAACTCTGACCTATGGCTTCAATTTACTGTCTCCTTTCCCACCCATATCACTTTCTTCATCTCACTAAGAGACTTGGTGTTCTCTCACATCCTGGCCTTGGTCTAATTTCTATCTGCCTGGAAGGCCATTTCTTCCCCCATCTCACCTGACATTTGCCCAGTTAACTCTACTCATTCTTTAGGCTTCAACTCACACTTCAATTCCTCTGCTAAGTCTTTTTTAAACTCTTGAACCTGAGTTGGGACCCATCTGTGTCCCCTCCTCCCCCCTGTTCTCGCCCCCTGTGGCACGAATAAGCTATATTACCATTTACTGTTTACTTGTCTCTTTCTTCCTCTAGACTGTATATTCCAAGAGGGAGGGACTGTAGCCCCAGAGCCCATCAGTAAAAGCAGTAAATGCGAGATGAATGAAACTGCTCAGAGTCTTGGCACAAGCCGGGAAGGAGAGAAAAAGGACAGTAAACAACACGATCAAGGAGGGAAGAGGAAATCTCCTCCTAAAACAGTTAAATAGGAAAGGTGTAGACTAGAGATGGGCTTGAAACCTAAAAGAGACATGTAGGTTATGTGGATGGATTCAAATACCACTGAAAGTTTCTGAGAAAGAGTGTGTGGCAACGATTCATTTTCAGCATATACTTAAGAATAGCGCGATCCAACAGAAATAAAACATGAATCACTAATGTGGGCCCACTTAGGTAACTTTACATCTTCTGAAAGCCACACTTTAAAAAGTAGAGGTGAAATTTATTTTGCTAAAATATTTTACTTAATCCAGTGTATCCAATATACTATCATTTCTATGTGTAATTAACATAAAAAAATACTAATGCGTTATTTTACATTCTTTTTTTTTTATACTGTCTTTGAACCCCGCTGTGTCTTTTACATGTCAAGCACAGCTCCATTTGAATTAGCTACATTTCAAGGGCTCGACAGCCACAGTGGCTATGACTACTGTACTGAACAGTTCAGGTGGGGGCAAAGAAGTCATCCAGGAGTAATTTCAGGGCGGTGATAGCAATGAAAATGTTGACAATGTTGAGAATGGAGAGAAACGCAAGTGTGTGACATTCTCCTGGCAGAATTAGCATGTCAGTTTGTCTGAAAGAGAGCCTTCGCACTGCTAACGTATATTTACACATTTGGCCTTCAGTCTGCATTGGAAAGGAGAATCAGTTCACATACAAGCTGTGATTTTGTTTATATTTCTGTTCTCAAAGATAGCTATTTGGTAGTGAAACCTACCACCTTTATCCAAGCCATGAAAATAGTGAAAATACTTTTGGAGGCTGATTTCCCTAGTGTGGAATGCAAGATTTGTGAAATTCAAGCATATCTGCTAGAATTCAAGCCCATTTTTATGTGATATGGGTCACAATCAATTCAATTCCACAATCATTGAATGAGTTCCCACTAATTGGAAGCTTGAGCTACTGAGCAATTATCCTTTGCAGAAGAGTAAACAAAAGCATAATTTATTAATTTGCTATTTATTCCCCCAGTTATATAATTAGCTAACTGTTGCAGACTTACATTGTGGTATGTCTGTATGATGTAAAGGTACATAGACATAGTTTATTCAATTTTATGTTAAGCCATACGTGGAGATGATCTATTCTGTGCCTTTTCAGCTATCATGTCTTCATTTTACAAATGAAAAAAATTTAAAAAGAATAAAGGACTTGCCTAAATACAGTCAATGGGAGATTTAATGAGAGTACCCTGAGGTTATTTCTAAGGCTATTTCTATGGCTATATGTGTATGCATGATAAATGAATAAAACATATTAATTTATTAAATAATTTCCTATCTTTGGAACTATTTTAAGCATATGTGTTTCTAATAAAATGAATTGCAAGTAAGACCTCCAGTTCTTAAACAGAACAAAACTTGATTTGTCCCCAAACTGTATCTTCATATTAGCAGAACTCTCTTATTCTTATGAGCATCTTTAACATATCTTTTTAAATGATCTGGATTGACTGTCTAGACTGTTTCAAGTTCCCTGGATAATTTCACAGCTCCCTCTTTGCTCTGACAATGTTCATATGACCTTGAGTTAAATTAGAGAGGTTTCTTTTCTTCTAAATGTTTCATATGCACTACATACATTACTTAATATTGGAGATTTTTGCTTTAAAGGTATAAGGGAAAAAATTTCCTGTTGAGTGATATTAAATATCACTTATCTGAGATTATCAGGTTACATGACTACACATTTTCCAGCCCTTTCTTTCTGAAAAAAAATCCACTGTTATTGAAATGTAAAGAAATTAGTGCATTTTTAATCAAATCAATATACATTTGCTATAACAAGAGAACAATCCATTTTGAGTTCAGCACTGTTTTTTATTTTTTATTTTTATTTTTTTAATTTTTTTTTCAACGTTTTTTATTTATTTTTGGGACAGAGAGAGACAGAGCATGAACGGGGGAGGGGCAGAGAGAGAGGGAGACACAGAATCGGAAACAGGCTCCAGGCTCCGAGCCATCAGCCCAGAGCCTGACGCGGGGCTCGAACTCACGGACCACGAGATCGTGACCTGGCTGAAGTCGGACGCTTAACCGACTGCACCACCCAGGCGCCCCAGCACTGTGTTTTTTAAAACTAATAGAATCACGGCAGGTCAAGAAACAAATATATTGGAACTTAACTAAATGTGTCTGTTTTGTTGCTAATACTAATATGATTTCATTAGGAGCATCTGATAAATCTCAAGGGTTTGGACATTCTCTTCTGCTTTTTCATATAACAATGTGGGCAATTAAGAATTCAACAATTAGTTTAAGAATTAAGAAATTACTTTCCCCTGGATAAACTCACCTCATGAGAAGTGAGGACCTGCAAAGGTGAGACACTCTGGATCCAGTAGGGAGTCTCCAATTTTGACACTAAGGAACTTATATTCTTACACCATGTCAGCCTCTGAAAGGTAGGGACGCACCCAGAAGCACCCCATAATTTTTTCACTAATCACATACAAAGCCACAGGATGTCAGAGACTCTTGAAGTATTCTCTAATCCAAGCCTTTCAGCTGCAGATTCGATGCAGAACATAAACCTAAACTCTCCCAGAGTTTACTCACATGTCCAGTTAGCGCCTCTCGAGGTAAACTCCCCATCAGCCTCTTCGAATTCTACTCTATTTTCTTTGTAACTAAAGGAATGTTTGCTAAGGTGCAATTAAGTGCAAAGAGTTCACCCTTTAAGCTTTAAGGCATTGCCCTTGGCTTTAGCTTTCAGAGATTTGGTGAGCAAATCTGTATTCACCCTGCTCAGACCCTTCGTGACTTTATAGACTTCAATCACATCCCCGCCAGCCTTCATCTTTCATATTATTCCATCCAAACTAAAGACATCTGAAGATTTGAAACATTTGGAAGCATTCCCTTTCATTTCCAGCCAAGATAAAAATAGAGGCTTCCATTGTGCTCTCAAGGAAAAAAAAAGTCTATGTTTTCGGTACTTGGGGCTGTCTCAAAAAAAATGAGATCTCACAGACTATATCTCTAGAGAAGGCACATGAACAGGAGACACTTAGGCCCACGAGAGACCCAAATCTAAATACCTACATCCACTCTCACCTTTAAAAGACTCCTCTTGCTTACGCAACCATTCCGGAGTGGGGATGCTGACCCATTTCTTTCTTTTGTATGTATTAAGGGAAAGTTGCCAGAGGAGGAAAGTGTACTGTCCCAAAATATTTCTTCCACAAATTATTTCTTCTTTATCTTTATCTTCCACACAGCTGTTGCTGATTTCTTTGATTTAATAAATTGTATGTGTTTTTTCAAGGTAAGAATATTTCTCCTAGCATGAGCTGTAAAACACAAATGTAAATGTCTCTGAGTTAATTTACCAGTTATCTACACGTAGACTGTGAATTGCTTTAATCAGATTGCTTTCCTTACTGATACTCATGTAAGATGAACACTAAAAGAATTGTGACTTTTTGACAAGAAGAATAAAAACAGAAGCACGGGGCACTAACAAGAAAGTTAGGTTTGAACTGTCAGATCAATAAGGAGCATTGGACTACCAGCAGATAATGTAAGGTCCTGATCCTTGGGTAGGAGAAGAGAAGAAGGAGGAAACACAGGCCAAAGAGACAGAAGAAAGTAGGAAAGAAGCCAATACACTCAGATTGTAGGTATTTTCAAAAGAACATTTGTTGAAAGTTTAATTCTTACAATTGTCTTGCAAATTACAGGTTATTATGCCAATGTACAGATATGAAAACTGAGGCTCAGAGAATCTAATGAAGTTTCAAAGGCTACATCTATCACTTATTGAATATTATATACTAAATATATAAATTTTCTCAGAGAATCCTCAAAATAATTCTAGGAAGTAGGTACTATTGTATGCATTTTAAAGTTGAGAAAACAGGGGCACCTGGGTGGCTCAGTCGGTTAAGCTTCTGACTTCAGCTCATGGTTTGTGGGCTTGAGCCCCACGTCCGGCTCTCTGCTGACAGCTCAGAGCCTGGAGCCTCCTTCGGATTCTGTGTGTGTCTCTCTCTCTGCCCCTGCCCCACTCATGCTGTCTCTATTTCTCATAAATAAGTAAACTTTTAAAAAATAAATAAATACACTTGAGATAACAAAGAGAGAATTTAAGGTTCCAGGGATCCGGAACTAGTAAAGGACAGAGCTGGGGTTAGAACCCAGGTTTTTCTGACTCCACGGCCAAGGCTCCAAACCACTAAGCAGCACTATCCTTCTACCTCAAAGTCAAAACTGTGTTCTGCTACACCACAGCAATCCAGCACCCTGCTGGCGATAGAGTTTGCTGCTTGGGGTATTCAGTCAAAGATTTTTTAGCAGGCTTTTTTATAACCCCATCTCCCTTTTTTTGTTGTTGTTCATTAAGATTACCCAGTAAATTCTCATACTATCCTCAGTTATACAAGTTTGCTCACAAAAGCCTTTCCAAGAAACCGGGTGTCCGTGGTATTGGTTCCAGACATTCTAATGACTACTTATGTGTCTTAGCATCAACCACAGGGACCACTAGGGACAAAGTCACATCAATGAAATGAGAGGATTAGAGCCCTCTTAGCACCAAAAGTCCATAATCTTTTTGCAGTCTTCTGTCGACTTGGCGAATTGCAAATCTTCTCCTAAGTATTAAAATTTTGTGTACATTTAGCACAAACTGGAGAAGGTAGAGAACCGTTGCAGATTTGTTGTTAAAGTTCCATTGTTGTCCCTACTGCACACAATGTAATGTTGGAGATAATGTATCTGCGGCTTCCTTGTGTGGATACTCCACAATATTAGCTTTGAGGGTTTGTGTTTGTTTAATTCCATTTGCAAACTGGATTCCACAGTGTCACCAAGAGTAAAGCATTTGCCATTCAGCATCTATGGAGTAGAGAATATATGCCACAAACTTCAGGAATAAACATGAATGTTGACATGTAAATTGTGTTCTGTGAGAACTCACAGTATAGAGGAGGGACCAGACAATTATCATAGCTAGCTAACTTTTAATGAGCATCCGATATATGCCAAGCAGTGCTCTGAGCACTTTACATGGATTGTCTCATTTAATCCTCATGTGTGGAGTATGAGGTAAATACTAGTGATATCCTCATTTGACAGATGAAGAAACTGAGTCTAAAGGAGTTAATTAGCTTTTTTAAAATCACAGAGATAGTAAATGCTGGAGTTTGGATTATACTTCAGGCTTTAGGTTTTAGCTTATACACTGGCCCTTCCTGCTGTACTACTGTCTTATAGTACTTTAGTAAAATTTATGACAAAGGTATCCATGGGAAGCTGTAGGAGCAGAGATAAGGAACATAAGACCTAGTCGGGGCTTCAGAAATTTCTGGAAAAGTATGTCTTGAGTTTGAGGTTATTGATTTTTTCTTTGGAGAGGATCTTTTCCTTAGTATTGATGATCAAATAAATTGGAATTAAATACTATTTATTTTTTATACCATTATTATTACAATTGAGACAATTCTTATTTCATTCAAAAAAAGGGATTGGGGAAAACCATCCAGTTGGCAATTACTTATTCAAGTTATTTGTTTGAATTCAACCCAAACTTTAAAATTATTTGAACAAGTTATCAAGAGAATAAATTCTGAATAAATTCAGAGCTATAGAACAAACTGAATGACCTCACATGTAGTATTTTAAAAACCAGCAAAATGTGTCTTTTTAGAGTTCTCTTAATTGTGCTTCAATTAAAAAATATTAATAATGTGATTTTTGCTTTACTAGTGGGGGGAAAAAGGAACAAGGGAGGTGGTAAATGCTTTCTGACAACACCAACCTGAAACTCTGGCAAAACTGAAGTTTACTTTGGATGTCCTAGGCCAGCCTTATCTGATCAATTTCTGTTATTTTCCTTAAGCATGGCCCTCAATTCCAACTCCATTTTCTTCTATTATGTGATGTTGTTCAAATCAAAATCAAAGATGAAGTTCAGACTAGAGAGTAAAAATGGACTCGTCCATGGGACACATTTGTTGGGATCAGAAGGGCAAAGGAGTGAAAACCAGAATGTCGCTGCCGGTAATCATCCCCTCTGATACTACAAAGAACAGACATTCAGTAACCTCTGAGAGATGATGAAACTCTGGAGAGCATTCTCACTACAGGAAGGTGGCAAGGAAGCCAAAATAAACAACACAACTTTTAGGCTCAAGCCCACACATGCTTATGACAAAAGGTATTGACAAACTCATCTTCTCTACCATCACCTCCCACCCTCCACCATACCCTAAGGCAGAGCTGTGAGCCATGCCTGACTTTGAAAACAATTCTTAGGTCATTAGGCACCATCTATAAAGTCCAGGCACTAGCTAACTGGAGGCTTAATGGTACCAAGTATCAGTGGGTAAGAGTCATAAGACTTATTCTCTTCACTTGCCTTCTTCTACTCAAACTGTGGCCCATCTACATTTCCACAAATCCCTAAGGGCAGATTTTACTTACTCACCTTTTACCTACCAACCTGCCAGGCAGTCGCTTGCTTTTAAAGATGACTCCCGGGGTGCCTGGGTGGCGCAGTCGGTTAAGCGTCCGACTTCAGCCAGGTCACAATCTCGCGGTCCGTGAGTTCGAGCCCCGCGTGAGGCTCTGGGCTGATGGCTCAGAGCCTGGAGCCTGTTTCCGATTCTGTGTCTCCCTCTCTCTCTGCCCCTCCCCCGTTCATGCTCTGTCTCTCTCTGTCCCAAAAATAAATAAAAAAACGTTGATAAAGATGACTCCCTAAGGGTAGTTAACTGGGAATGCTCTGTGTCTTGAAATGTCTTTAATTGCTTCCTTATTTTTGTCTAGTTTTTTGTGTGTTCCAAAATGACCTTAAGGTCTTTTACTGAGCAAATCTTTTTATATTAGCCTTCTAATCATTTCACGATTTTTTAAAAATTTATTTTACTCTAGTCCAGCCAAAAATCAGAGTACTTAAATAAAACCATCCCTTGGTGTCACTTTCAATTCCAAGATTTCATGATCCCATAAGAATTTTTACTAGAAGTATTGGGGCCAACAAAGAAAAGCAACCATAAAAGTGAAACAGGATTGTTTTAGGTTCAACACAAAGAAGGAATTCTTAAAGATATGAATAAATTAAAAGTAGGACTTTGTATGGGAGCCTGGGTGGCTCAGTTGGTTAAGCAGCCGACTTTGGCTCAGGTCTTGATCTCACAGCTCGTGGGTTTGAGCCCCATTTCGGTTTCTGTGCTGACAGCTCAGAGCTGCAGCCTGCTTCAGAATCTGTATCTCCCTCTCTGCCCGTCCCCCACCCACACTCTGTCTCTAAAATATAAATAAGTAAATAAATAAATAAATACATGTAGAACTTTGTATAATACCTTTCTATGGTGGGCCTTGAGAATAAACTATCTTTGAGGACAGATTAGACTTGATTATTTCTTGAGCTCCTTCCTATCCAAAGACAATTGTATTTATACCTTAAATCAGTGTTTCTTAAAATGAGCTCAGGGACCATAACCTCAGAATTAGTATGTTCATAAATATTCAGATTTCTAGGCTTCACCCCAGAATGCACATTTTTAGCAAACCTCCCAGCTAATATTTATGCATCATAAAATTTAAGAACCACTATAGAATTAAGAAGAAACTTCCAAATAGTATTTCTGAATGTTTCTAAAGAGGTGAAAATTAGGTATTAAGGTAGAAATCTTTGCTCTGAAGATTGGCCCCTTCTGTAAATACCAAATCACAATGCTAGAGATCTCTGAAAAAGGAAAGCAGTCTAATAAAACTCCCTTAATCTTTTCGTCTGCTAAAGTATTTTCAAAGATTTTTTTTTTCAAACTCACTATGAAATGTTTAAAGTCTAAAGAGTTCAGAGTTTGTTCTGATCCAACCCATTCATTTTACAGGAAAGGAAAGTGAGAAGGGAAAGATTACAGCTTACCCATGGTCAGTCAGCTAGGAAGGCCAATGGAAGGCTTACAATTCAATTGTTGGTCCTTGTTCCAGTATTCACCTCAAGGTGAATTTCTGCCTATGTGGACTATTTCTACAATATGTTTTCAACAACGCTCTTTGATTTATTTTGTTTTAATGACAGAGATTTCTTTTTAAACTCAAAGATGAGCAAGTCACAAAATATAACACTTACCACTCAGTATTACAACTCAAATTTTATCAAGATCATTCTTTAGTACTCAAAGTACTAAAGAGTTGTGGTAGCTACAACTATATTTTAGATAAATTGATCTATTGAGCGATTAAAAGATACACAGATGAGACCTATATATGTATGGTAGCTAGGGCAATTCACAGAGACATTTCTAGCAGAGCTATTAAATATTCTAGAAAAGGATTGCCTGTCATTCTGCTCATATAAGTATATCTAATATTCATACATTCATTCAATTTACCAATATTTGTCAAGTGCCAACCATGTGCCAGGTATTATGCCATTCTATTGCAGTTGCATCTTTTATGGAAATCAGGGTCTAGGATTAGCACTAGAAGCAAAACTCACAGAATCAAAATTACCATTGGGAAAAAAAATCTATTAGGAAGGTTTATAACCCCTTCTCCCAGTTCCTTCTCTGACCGAGCACTAGGTGAAGTTCTTAGTTTGCTTTTAGTGACATGTTGTTGTTAAAATTAAGTCTCCTTAAACATTTGAATCATTGTGCATAGAAGTACTCAGTGTAAGAAGCACATAAGGACTGAGACCAACTCAGGAAACAACTTGGGTTCACATCTATCTCTTGCTCATTTATTGGATGAAAAGGCAAGCAGAATCATCCACTCCATTTAAATTATTTTTTTCTTCTCTTGTTTCCCCCAAGTGGATAGAGTTGAATTCAAGTGATTTAAATCCAAGTATGTTGGGACCTCTTGCCATTTATCATAACCTGTTGTCATTTTGCATCATACTGTTCAATCTACATGCTATTCTCTTAAATTGGCTCATCTACACCCACTGGAAGGAAAAATGTAAGAGACTTTCTGTCAAGGGGGGAGCCTCAGTTTTAACCTCTCTATTGCTAATATCTTCAGGCTGCTATTCAAGTACGTATTCAGTGTTTTACTATCTTCTTGGCCTTGACCTCCTGGCCTCAAGCTGGCAGCTCAAACAGCTGCTATACCCTGGAATAAAGAGTTGGTTCCCTGGCTTGGAAACTGCTGACACTTTTCCATAGTGCTCCCTAAGCTATTAGGTCAATGGTGGATCCTAACTTCCTTTGATTTGCATAGTATTTGCTTCCTACTGCGGCCCCATTCTCCACATGAACCACAAATCCTGGAACAACTCCAAATAACATATTTAGATCAGTAATAAAGTTTGGTTACACTTCAATAGTTTATCCTATCAAATTGCCTAAGCTCTGAGGAGGGAGGGAGAAATTGTTTCCAGAAACCATCAATTCACAGCCCATTTATCAACCCTATAGAACAAAGGGTACCATGTGGCACTGAATTATGGGGATTCTTGTCCATTAAAAATAGGATTGACAGCAACAGCTTATTTCACAGAATCCTCTAACTGGAGGTCATTAAATCCAATGACTTCTTGATTGGCCCTGAATTAAGAACCAAAAGATGAAAGACTCCACATTTCCCATCTCTAATCTTATGAGCCACTCAACCTAAATCCTGGGCTTTATTGTCAAGCATCATACTACGTGGAGTAGCATAACAAGCCCCTAACCAGATCAAGCTCACTCAAGCTACAGTATAACAGCATCAGGATTAGTAACTTCCAGGCTAGTGACCACAAGCCACGAAGAGCTAACATTTCTCTAGCTTTGGAAAAATCTGAAGATATCCTGCCACCAAGAGAAATAGTAATGGCACAGCTGGCAAGCACTGAAACTTGGGACTCAGTTGTATTTTATTTTGCTTTCATTCCCCAGTTCTCATTATATTTCCAGCCCCCATCCTCTTCAATAAACATATCTTAATGAAAGTCTTTAAGAAAAAAAAAGTGACTAGAAAACATGTAAAGAAATATTCTTTAATACATGAGTGGTAATTAAAATGTGAGCATGCCCTGAGGGCAGAAAATGGATCCCTCTGTTAGGAATTTCAAAGCTAATAAATACAGCAATATAAATACACCATTAAATTGCATTGTAACCAACAAACAGACATATGAATTATTGAGCCGTACATAAACTTTAGGACCTGACTGCAGAAAAGGCCAAGAGCAACCAAAAAAGTTCCAAATTAATTGAGCAAGTAATAGGATACAGGAGGGTAAAAGGTTTAAAATGGAACAGCTGAAGCCCTGAAGTACATTCTCAAGAGAAGAACACCACGTGGAGAGAGATACAGAGAGAGAGAGAGAGCAGAAGAGAAGCAACATGGAAGAGTTCAGAGGTTATTCTGCTAAATGCATACCTTGTGGCTTAGATCTCAGCACTGACGCCAGTTTGATTCTGAAGATAGAATATGTTTCTAGAAGCACAGCTGTGGAAACAAAATGAGATTCTATTTTAAATACAATATAGAGCACTGTCTGTGTACCTTTATTAAAAGTCTACTGCAAGCTTCTACTTCTGACCCTGATGGAGTATCAGGGACCAGATTTACCCTTTCACCTTAAGTAACTTTACAAAACAGACCAAACATATGAAGCACTAGTTTCCAGACATTGGACAATAGGAAGCACAGGTCAGTGATGCCTGAGTGAAAGAGTACAAACCAGGTGAGTTTTACCTCGACTGCTCCCTTTTACTGCCTTGAGAGAGTATCTAGGCTATAATGGGGACAGGCTCAGCCAAACAGAGCCTGGCTTTCTCCCTGAGTTGAGAAGATAGAGCTGACTAAGAAGGGAGGCCAAGTAGGTAGAATTCACAGCACGCCATACCAGAGAGGGGAATCTCGTGTTCGAAAGATATACAGAGGGTTTCCCTGAGTACTCACCTGACAGCTGACAAGGACACGTATGTGTGAGGAAATTACTGAGGACAGGTAAAGACGGCTGAAAAGAAGCAATCCACAGAGTTCACACACATCTGAAAATAGTTCCATTTCTCCCCTGTCCCCACCAGAGTAGAAAACCTTATAACACACAGAGCATCAGGTGGAGGACTCAGAAGGCTATCGACTCAGTAGTGAGAAAAAATTATTCCTGGACGGAAGGTTACTCCACTTAGCAAATTTTCAAAACAGGCCTACCGGATCAAACTGTTTCCAAGTGACTTAAATGTGTCCAGAACAAAGTTCAAGCATATTTAAAAGAATGCAAAATATATTCAGCACCCAACAAGATAAAATTCACATTAACTGGCACCCAATGAAAAATCACTAAGCATGCAAAGAAGCATAATGAGGAGAAAAACAATGACTAGAAAGAGATTCAGAAATGACACAAATGATGGAACAAGTGGGCAAAAATATTAAAACAAATACCACAACTATATTCCATTTATCCAAGGTAGAGCAGTGTCTCTCAGCTTTGGTGCTCCTGCCATTTGGAGCCAGATAATTCTTCATTGAGGGAGCTGTCCTGTGTGCTATAGGATGTTTAGCAGCAGCCTGGCCTCTACCCACTAGATTCCAGTAGCGTTCCCCATGCTCCCCTGTGACAAGCAAAATATCTTCAGACATTTTCATCCGTCTCCTCGAGGGCAAAATTACCTCTGGTTGAGCACCACTAAGGTAGAGGAAACCATGAGCAAGTCAAGGAGAATTGCTCCAAAAAAATTAAAATTTCTATAGATGAAAAATGCAATCAGATGAAAAACACACTGAGTGAAATAAACAGCAGATTAGACGCCACAGGAATAAAATGAATAAACCTGGATCTAAAATGACAGAAACTCTCCAAAATGAAACACAGAGTCTACCCTGTTGTAGAGTTGTTTCTCATAGTACATGTTCCATGAATGGTGTTAGCACATCAGCTACAGGGCTGTTGTAGTGAACCAGTGTAATGAAAAAGGATAGTAGGATGAAAAAAACGGCGGCGATGGTAGGAAAGCAGTTCAACAACTGCTACTACTAATAGTGTACCAGTATAAGGACTAGCTAACATTGAGTTTTCTGTACCAGACACTTTGCTAAGTACTTTGTATGCACTCTTTCATTTAATATTCACAGCAATCCTGAGAGTTAGAAATCACCATTCCTGTTTACAGATAAGGAAGCTGAGTTTCAAACACTTTCAATAAATAGCAAAGATCACAGGATCATAGGATCACACAGCTACCAACCGTAAAGGAGGAATCGCAACCTACATCTACTCTACTCTAGAGACTGCTTTTCTAACCACTGGGCTTCCTGATACAGAATGACTGGTTGAAAGCAAGGTATTTGAGAGAATTCAAAGAAGAATCAAAGTGGAATTTGATGACTGACTTGGATGTAGAAGAAAGAAAATACAGCAAATGGAAAGTATATTTTCCAAGAAAAAGCAGAAGGGTCAAAAATATAAATAAAGCTGTATACACGCACAGCCCATAGAACTTTAGGGCTGGAGGGAATATGAAAGATAATCTCTTCCAGACGCAGATGCACATGCTCACACACACACACACACACACACACACACACACATGCTTTTAAACAGCAAAATAAATACAGATCTAGAGACTTTGATTTCCTTTTCTACATTTGTTGAGTGTTTTAGTTTTTTAAATGTTTTTATTTATTTTTGAGAAAGAAAGAGACAGAGTGTGAGCAGGAGAGGGTTAGACAGAGAGGGAGACACAGAATCTGACACAGGCTCCAGGCTCTGGGTTGTCAGCACAGAGCCCAACATGGGTCTCAAACCCACGAACTGGGAGATCATGACCTGAGCCAAAGTCAGATGCTTAACTGATGCAGCCACCCAGGCGCCCTTGAGTGTTTTAAATGACTTGTTTAGTTGCCCCAGCTAGTTAAAGGCTATGCCAAGACTTAAGCTCTAATTGTGCTCTTTCTACTCCAACGCCCTGTTTCTCCTGTATAAATATGTAAACGTGCCTACCCCATGCCTAACACATGGCAGATTCCTAATAAATATTAGATGTTTTATTGACAACCAATTAAGCCATTCAAACGACTTGTGCATATAGACACAGCATTACTGCATGGGGGCAGATCCATTCTGAAACTGCTGCAGCTTATTCTTCACAGAATAATCTTATTTACTATCAAATGGTAGAGCCAAGTCACAGGGACTGGAGAAAGAACAGATGTTTTCAGGATTATTTCCCCTCACATAGTGTGTTCTTGAAACCCTCTCATGTTAAAGCACCTAACACCAGAGCAGAACGGGAATAGAATAATCATCTTCACATAGACAGCATTACCCATGTTTACAATCCTTCACACAAGAGGGATCAGCTGATGAAGGCAGCCAGTCTGAATGTACAATTATAGGAGCATGACGAAAACCAGGTGAACCATTCACCACAGGGTCTGAATCATTCAGACCCTGTATCAGCCCCCAAACCAAAACGGTGGCCTTAATCCCTTTATCCCCACATTCTGCTCACACAATCGGTATGCCCAGTTAGAGATGGTTTTCTCTGCATGAGGCTGCTGTCCTGAGCAACATGTGACATGATTTGCCTTCAAAGAACCTCTCCATCGCTCTTGGCACCAACATTTCCTAATGTTTATGTTTTTGAGACGAGAGTGTTGGTGATAAAGCTCTCGGTCACACGGAGGTGCCTTTTTGCTCTGGCAGTTCACAAGATATTCAGTTTTATTTAATGGCTTAACTGCTTCATAATTGCTCATATTCAGCTGCTCCTAAGCCTGAATGATCTCAGCTTTTAATATGCCTTGTCTAATTTTTAGCCACATCAATCTATACAAATAGCTCATCACTACTCTGAAATGCTAATGCTTGTCACATATTTCAATCGCCTCTATAAGACCTTGTTCCTGTGTTCATAAATCTTGTTAACATTTCAGGACCTTTATTTTCTTGTCCAATGATTCAAAGATACATATAGACAGATATAGATAGATATAGATATAGATATAGATATAGATGATATAGATGTATAAGACCTCATCTTTTCCAAGGATTCAATATTTTTAAAATATGAAATAAAAAAAGATAAGTGACTTCTTTTTTACTAAATCTACTTAACACTATTTATAATTATTTGTAGCATTTTACACCTTCTGCCTTGTTTTCATGGTTATTCACATATTTTTCTTACCTCCTCTTCTTGTTTATAAACACTATGGGATAAACCAAGGAGACAAAAAACAACTGGGGGGGGAGGGGTAAGAGGGGCCAGAGGCCACTTTTCAAGATGTTATCTGAAAACTGAAAAGTGGGAATGGAAAGTCACAATGAGGACTGGTTCAGTTCTCTTACTTTCTGTAGGAGAACAGCATGCAAATCAACAGTCACGATGTGACAGTGACCTATTTCATCAGAATGTTAATTTCTCCAGTAAGGTAAGTAATTACATCATCAGAAAGGGGTAGGGCAATAACAAGAAAAAGTTTCCAAGTCAGCTTGAAGTGTAAAGATGCAACTGTAACATGCCCCATAACAGGGTAAATGACATCGACTGGAGATCCACAAAGGTCCTCTAAGTTACTGATACTGTCTTTCTAGATTATCTGTTAAGTATATGCTGATATATTAGTCTGTCTAATTACATCCTCCAAGGTAGAGACTATTTTTTTAAAAGCAACCTCTCTATCTTTATGTGCTGTTTATGGTATATCACCCCCACTAAAACATAAGCTCTGAGAATCCTGAAACTCTGTTGGTTTTTTTCACAACAGCATACCCAGCTGTGGAATAAGGCACATAGTAGGTACTCAATGTGCTAAAGAAATGAGTGATACTAACCTGGTATCAATGTGAACTTAAACTTGTTGCTAATAAGACTGTGCGGCCCTTGGGTCCAGAAGGGAGCTTTCACAACTAAATAAAATAGTGAGTGTCTATTCTTAAAACCAATCAAGTGCCCCGACGATAAATGACTCTTACAATGGTCCTATATTCTTTAGGCTGCAAATGCTAGACGTGGCAGATCCGAGCAGCAGCCCATCCCTGCCCCTCTTCCAACTCCATGCACCCCAGACACCCAGGCTCAGGAAGAAAGCAAAAAACAGTGGCCCAAGGAATGCGCTCACAGGAGTTGATGCTCTTCCAGAGGACTTTCAAAGCACCACTACTGCTCGTAGGAAGGGTGACCATCTGGTACTATCTCCCAGCTCTCCTCTTCCTTGCGCTCTTTTCTGAGCTGAGAATGTACAGGGTTTCTCTCTCTTTTCGGTAACTTCATAGCAATACAGTACCACAGATTGAACGTTCAGTGTTTGTTTCAATTCCTACATGTAAATATCCATTTTCCTTAAACCCAGTGTCATTACCTTCAAGGGCATAATCATCCACAGGACTGTTTCAGTTGTATCTACCAGAATTCATTATTACCCAAGCACCGTAAAATCATTCACAGATCGTGGTCTTCCCTGAGAGCAGAAAAATAAGGTACTTGACATAATTCTTAACTACATTGACTGGACCTTCCACTAATGTTCCAATAAAAGAATTGTTCTTTCTCCCTCGTCAAGTACTTATTACCCTTAATAGCACCTGTTATGACTGAGGCCTTTAGCAGAAAGAATGTTAGCTTAAAATTGTATGTTGTTAGTTATAATTTGCCTGCTGGGAAAAATGTTGCGTAAGTAATAAATACATTTTATTAATAGAAAACTAGGTCAGAATAAAAAAGTCCACTCTCCAACTACCTTTCTTCTCTTTCCCCTAATTTGTGCTACTTTCCAAAAGCTGCAGGTGCTCCCGGGAATGACTATAACAGCTGGAGCAGGGTTCTCCTTACAAAAGCAGCCATAGGGAAACTACTTGCATCAAATTGGTCTCCTGTGTTCTGGCCTCCCTTTCTGCAACAATTTACCTCCATTTAGTTTCTCCTCCCTTTCATTAATGTCACATGGCATCATGATCTGATAAACCCATTCACAGTAAAACATCAGAGGACTAGCATGTCACTTTGCTCAGGGGTATTTGTGTTTCAAAGAAGGTGTGGGAGGTAAAAAAGCAATATTTAAACCAAAGTAATTAATTTCTA